CCTGTAGGGAGGGAGGCCCTAGGGAGGGAGGGAGGCCAGCCAGAAGGGAGGAGCAGCTAGACAGCAGGGCATTTGATGGCATTGATGGGACTGATGAACCATGACATGTCAATTTTCCATCCAAAATGCTGGCCCCATCAATTAATCAGGGGGCCCTTGATGGCCATCATTGGCCAAGGAGCTGGACTAACAGGCATTCTATTAATTGTCTAGCTTAACAGCCCTCCCCACTGTTAGTCGTTAACAATGGATCCACTAACAATGGTGTGCCCTGTTCAACCATGTTTCACTGTTAGTCTACAGTCAACTACAGTCCCTCGGCGAGGACACGGACACCCACTTCCCGGTCCTTCGTACCTTGGATCTACGAGGCATGCGTCTACACGGGCCCTCGCTCTTATGCCTCGTACGCGCTTTGCACCAGTTACCCCGAGTCACGCGCCTTGCTATCAGCAGCCCGCCGTCATATGAGCTTGGAGCTCACCTTTTTGAGGTCTTCGCCGAGAAGGGAACCAATGGGGTATGGATACTGCCTCACCTGGAGGTCTTGGTCTTCGAGGAATGTCGCGACCTATCAGGACGCGGACTTCTCCAACTCGTCCAAGCACGACAGGCAGCAGATGGCGTGGATCAAATACGGTACATGAAGCTTTCCGCATGTTCGCTGGATGAAGATGTACGCGCCCAGCTCACAGACTACGTTGAAATACTTCGTATTGAGTAGCATGTATTTGCTATACCTACGAAACCGACATCGATCTTTTATGATGATATCCGCAGGGATTGCTCTGTGTCAACGTCTGAACGTGTGACGCACGTATTGGCTGCACTTTTGAACGGTGCTCGCTCGTTCAGCGGCTAGATCGTGCGTAAGAAGGGTAAGACGTTTTGGGCGATTATAGCTAGCGAGAGGCGATACCCCGTTGACGCAGGCTTAATCTTGAAGACTAAAGTCGAAGGTTTTCACTTTTGCTCTCCTCCTCATCTCCGCTTTGCCTCGCCGGACAGTCCAAGTCGGCGGGCCCAACACTCGCGCAGAGCGCCCCAGATGCGGGGGAGGTTCGTGCGGCGCGGCGAGAGCAAACAGGTCAGGTGACCGCGTTTCGAGCCCCGTCGGCTCAACAACCTCAACCCACGAACAAGTAGCTGGTTTTGCTTCACGTACCTCATAGACAGATGTTTGTGTGTACGGGCAAGTTTAGGCATGTAAGACACATGCATGAGAGTATCTGTTCGTCCACACGAGTAGATACGAGGGCGCCGAAGGCGCGCGAGACGCAATCGCGTCACCGAACAGATCGAAGATCTGTGAGCGCGGATCGCGCTTGCTTCTTGGGCTTTCCCGAGCAAACGGGAGAGCTCTCCCCAGAACTTCTCCCTTAGCGAGCTCAGTCTATGCCCTCGATAAGACTAGTGCCTGACATTCACCTCACAGGTTTTATCGCGCCCACAACGTCTAAACCAGATCATGCCAGTGAATATCCTTGCATATGAACCCGTCTTCGTTAACGGCACCAGTTCGATGTTATCATTACTGGAAGCTTGGAGTTTGTCTGAACTACGGTGCAGGAACTACTGCCCTTCATGAGGCATGCATGTATGTCTGACGAAGCGATTTATGTCAATGAGCTGCGGTTGATGGTACTGAGAGAACTAGTATGTGAAGCCTGGGACCAACTAAGGCTCCTCCGACTCTGGAGATCGCAAGATCATCATACTGTTGGTATACATATGCTATACAGCGACGCGCGCAGAGATTACGTAGAATAGAAGACAGTATCGTGAAACTATTGAGCAAGATCTATGACCTCTTCGCTCCTTTCTTCCGTCCACCGTTCGCCACCTGATCCGGAAGACTCGAAGGTGCTGCCTGACCGGCCTGACCCGCAACTCGTTTCTTGCGCTTGGGCAAGGCCTGCGCCTCCTCCGGGGCCACCGGGGTCCCGGCTATGAGACGAGGCGACCGTCGCGGGCGACGTCGGACTGGAGCATCCGGCGGCGGTGGCGCGTATTCATAAGCCTTGTCTTCCAGTGATGGCAGGACGCGTAGTTGCTCCAGTGCCTCGAGAAGTGTCTTGTTCTGATCGACGGGAGCGGGGATGACAGAACGAGGAAGAGGGGCTGTAGCCTGAAGCTCAAACTTGTCGCTCGGTGGTTGAGCCTGCACTCTCGATAGCCATTGGCACTTATTAGCGACTTTGCTAGGCCAGCGCTGCGTGGGGTCGTTGCAGATCATATTCCTAAAAAATTCCAGGGCTGAATCGTATCAGCAAACGCGTAGGACAACTGGAAGACAAGCATCTCACCGCTCCTGCTGGGACTTTTCGCGAAGAATTTCTCCCAATCCGGGCGGGGAAGCTTCCGGTCATGGATACCAGGGACCCATAACCTTTCCTGCAATCCAATAAGGCTATGCGTGACCGCTCTGTTAATAGGCTGAGAGCGTGTGCATGCAACTCGAACGTACATGTGAAACCCAGTCATAGCCAGGCCCCAGCAATCAACCTTATTCGTATACCCAGCGGCGAAGTCTCCTCCTTTGACGAAGACCTCGGGCGCCATATACTGGGGTGTACCAGCGATACTATGCTAAACAGCGGAGATAGTAGGTCAGTAACAGCCCTCTTTGTCAAAAAGTTGGAACGGACCATTCGGGAAGCAACCGAATGTTGTGCCAGCCCCAGATCCACGACTACAACTTCAAGCGGCTGCAGGGATTTGATGAGTATGTTCTGCATAACTGTGGTTAGCCAGTCCACTGAGATCGAGGCTATGACCTACGTCTGGCTTGATATCGCGGTGGATGATGTGACGATGATGAAGATGGGCAATGGCGTCTGTAAGCTGCTTCATGATCGTGCGGACTTCTGACCATGCTAAAACAATGTCAATATGGATGAAGTACAGGCGAAGAGTATCTGATCTTACAGGCAGCATGACGACCCATATAATATGACTGCAGGCTACCGGATGGCATGTACTCCAGAACCAAATCTTAACATCATGAGCAACGAGATAGAATATGTTCATGAATAAGACGCACAGAACTTCTCGTTCATCTCATCGTGAAAGGACTCCAGTAGCGAACAGACGCCGGGATGAGTACCGCCCAGCTTGAGCAATTTGACCTCCTGGAGGCAATCGCTTCGGCTGCTCGCTCCGTCGACGCGGTTGTAATCCAAAACCTTGACGGCGTACAGTTGACTTGGGTCCTCTCTAGAAAATATTCTCGATACGTGACCAAACGCGCCAGAGGCAACCCGCCTATCGTAGCCATATTTGCGAAGAAATGGATTGCGAATATAAAGGTCGATGTATTCGAACCCTACAGGATAGCCGCCGTCAGTCATCAAAATGAAAATCTGACAAGGACGGAGTAAGAGACGAACCACTTGAAGAGGGCTCGTCTGGGCTTCCCAGCCACACTCGAGAGCCGTCGAAGAGTCGCGCGGGTTGATCTGTCAGCTGAGTAAACCGCTGAAAGGTATTGAGCATTGCGTTGCATCAGAAACTAAGGCTGCGACGTACTAGGTCCTTTGTGAGCTTAGAATCCCCCTCCGATGGCGTAAACATCCATGTGCCGTATCGCGAACAATCTTCGATCCAGACAGTGCCGTCTTCGTGCCGGCGCATTAGTGCGTGTTTGGCGCCTGCAAGATGGTAAATCTCATGCCGTGGTCATGATACAGTCTGCGGGATACGAACTGGCAGAAGTGCGATCCTGATGGATCCACACGTCTTTCGGCCCATCGCTTCTAGTCCCTCGACCAATCTCCCACTGTGTCTTGGTGGACGTCAAGTGGACGCCGCCTTTCTGACAGTCATGGAAGGAGCCTTGGCTGAGTGGTCTCAGAAGAGCAAAGGATAGAAAGACGTCGGTGTCGCTCATGGGTCGTCTTGAGTTGATAGGAAGACGTCGCAGCTTCCTTACGCCTTTTAAGCTGAGCTTCGGAGGTGCATGTACCTTTAATGGGCATAAAAGCTCAGATCTACGAATGTTGATGGACTGAAATGCAACCCATACGCAGCATCAGTGAATTGCTGTGGCTAGCTTGTTCTCCCAAAAGAGTACAAGGAGCACCCCCCACTTGGCCGTTGCCAGCCATCCCGAGGTGGTCGTTGCCGTTGACCGCATCAGCGTTGGAGAACTTCGGGCCCGTCGGAGTCACTCCATGAGTGATTACTGCCCAGTACAAGTCGCAAGGCGTCGTCCTCGAGTGCAGGTGAGGTATAACATGAGCATAGCGACAGGGACTTCCAATATGCTTGTGGCCGTCGAGCAAAACCCGAGGCGAATGGAGAAGGCGAATCCACGTGCGTCGGCCGGGCTTCGGGCCGAGTAGCCATGGATTGCTCATCCGGGACGCTAGACGCGTGCACGTTGAATGCAGACACGCATCATGGCTACTAGCGCCTTCTTCGTGAGCGGGCGACCAAGGGATACTGTCGAGACTCTCATTATGAGATCACGTTCGCCCGAACGGCCTTCCGCCACTTACGAGTACAAGGACTGGCACGCTTGACACTAAGCTTTGCTGGATTCACGGTTCGTCGGCCTTCTCCACCCTTTTAAGTATATTCTATAGAGCATCTGCACTAGGCCAGGCGCACGAGGTCGCTCACGGACAAGCGCCAGACTTTAGCTGGAAGACTGCAGTGATCCCGGCTTCACGACTCGGGTAACGACTACACCGCACAGACGCGTCGCCTTGCGGGGTACCAGTACCACGTCTCTTGTGCTTCTTTTGGAGCACTGTCTCTGGTATATGTACAGAACAACGAGACCCATAGTGGGGCTCGCGCTCTGTCTTCAGCTCTTGTTCCCGGCCCAGCGGCATGGCTCTTCGCGCATAGCCCATCAGTTGGCATGCGGCTGGCTGACAGTCCGATATATAACGCGCTCCCTGCGACTCATGATCCTGCTGCCATTCAGTGTCTGGCTTCTTGCATACTTCAACTTCAATCACATTCTTTGCCATATCATAATCCCCATTAATGCCGGTTCTCAAGAGATCGGTGAGTGACACAGCTTCTTACTTGCACACCACAGCTCACGGCATGACAGAAAGCACCTATCAATACTACCGCTTATGATTCTCATGATAGCGCACGCTGGACGCCCATGCAATGTCAAGATTCTTCTACGCGAGCATTCGCTCGCACAGGGGCCGAGACGAAGGCAGCGCCTTTCATACAGCCTGTATATGTTGGCGGCATAAGAGTTTCAGCTTTGCTTTACCATGATCCAAGCTGAACCTCTGTCTCCAGCTCATCCCCACAATCTCGTCGGATCACCTGCGCGACCTCTTTGGCAGCTGCGGGGACATCACGCTGGTCGACATGCGCTGCACCCGAGGTACCGCGACGACGATGAGATACCCTCCCTCCAGCTGTATACTCGCGAACACTCTTCTCTACGCCACAATCTTATTCTCCGAGCCTACTGCTGTGGCTCGCGCACTCTCGTTCAATGGATATACGATGACTGGATATGCAGGCACAAGCAGCATCATTCGCGTTTCGGCAGTTCTCGAGGATCTGCGCGAAATCAGAGAGGCTACCCATCGGGCTCGAATTGTTGTTGACGAGTGCGTAGACTTAGAGCGCCAGGCGTAGTCAGATGCTGATCACTCTTCAGCGACGTCCTTCCTTCGGACCCAACCGAAGTTGTCGACCATCCTCCAGACGGGTACACATTGGCGCAACTATTGGAAGGCTTCCGACAAACAAGACACACGAACGCACGCACTCGAGGATGTGAGAAGCTACGAGGGACTGTGTCTACTAGTGGAATGGGCTCGCTTACGACTGACGAAACCCGCGAGTACATTGATGCTTGACTATGTACCCCGGTATCTTCGTTGCTACGTCGTGTGTTGAGGAATGCTAGGATCTGTGAATGCATGTTACTGTGGTGCTCGAACAGTTTCCGGAGAATTGCTTAAAGGCCAGCAGAGGGAGCAACTTCATTGACTGATGAACACGACGTAGGCGAATAGATGTGGTATAAGCAGGCATATATCATCCAGCTCTCTTTCCATGTGCCCAAATCTCTTACGTGACTACGATTGTGCACGGTCGAGACGTTGCTCAACACGGCTAATGATGCTGTGTCCGTCGACCAACCGTCTGACCTGAACAATGAACAAGTATAATCGGCGTCATCCTGAATATATCCGGTCCTTGTACTACGGGATCATACGGAAACAAAGACTGTCGCCGAAATCATCTGGTATGCCATGGCACTTGTTCGCTTATAGCTACCTTGATACCTTGTGCACAGCATACAGGAGTTGGTACGTACTGGTTCTGAGTATTGAGTGACAGTGCAGGATACTGGATCGTGGACTGCGTGATCTAGGTTGCCATGCTGTTGGCTATCCAACAAACTCTTTTCGGCGTGTCCAAATTCAGAACAAAGTCGCGCAAAGTGCTTAGCGCGGTCCCGGCCGGTGCAATCCATAGTCAGAACATACATATACGATTTCCTTTTCTCGCATCTTGCGTAGGGTGCGCACAACACCAAAAACCGACGACTGCGTTTCATCAGCCCGGCGAACCCTCCCCTCTCTGCTCTGCGTTACTCATGAGCGCTACAAACTCAGTGGCCAGCCTCTCGTCAACTCCCGACGACAGCCTTACTGGAATCCTTCTTCTCCTGGGTCTGAGCCTCGAGGACATGATTCCCGAGCCAGGAATTGCTTTGTCCATCGGCCAGGCAGGGGCAGTGACGCCGAAGAGTGCTCGATGCAAGTCAATCCAGCCTAAACGTCGCACTCCCCCACGCCCGCTCAACGCCTTTTTCATCTTTCGCTCCAACTTCAAAGCTCAGAAGATGGGCAACGCTACCGCATACGCCACATACGGCTTTCACAAAGACGTTTCGCGGCTTGCCGGGATGGTATGGAATAGGATGCCAAAAAGCCAACAAGAGCCGTGGCATAAGCTGGCTATCGAGGCTAAAGTGAGACACGGCGAGGAGAACCCCGGGTACAGATACAGCCCCTTGCGGAAGCCTTCGGCAAAGGCTCGTACCGGCGACTCTGGGGTTATGTCGCACTCCCCTCCCTCCGATTCTTGAATCCGACCATGCTCGACGGCGGCCTTAGTACGTATCGATTCGTCTACATCTGAGAGACCTGACATCTGATGCGATGTTATTATTCAAGCGCCCGCAAAACGTTCACAACATCCCGCTTCGATCAAGGCCCCGTTCGACATTACTCCTCTGACTTTCGGCGGTGATGAGATGCGCAAAGTGCCTTCTCCAGTATCTCGCCTCTGTTACACTCTATAAGTCTCGCTTGCATCACCGGCATGACTATGGACCTACCGCGTCATCGATGTATACTCTTGCTACTGCACAGGCGTCTCTTCACCGTCCGTCAGATCCATATTGTAATCACCCCACGTCGCTTCTAGTCGCCTACCACTGCATAGATCCGTATCTAGAACCCTACAGTGATCTCAACCCTGTAGGCAGATGTAGCATCGAATGACGAGCTCCTGATCCCTTGTAGTCCAGCCGACGTAGGCTCAGAGATCGGCTTTGGAGGTTGGCAGGAGGAGTGGCGCTGCTCGTATGGCTGAAGGATGCAAAGGTACATGCACGCCATTAAGAGGGGATGTGGAGTCGATCAGAGGATGTGGTACGCGACCGAGCGGAAGTCTTCGCGGATGAGGTTCCGTTGGTGTTGAGCTTTGAGGAAGTAGTTGTCGAATACCCTGACACCGTTTAGTGGAGTAGGTCTTAGATACTGGCAAATGCACTCACCCGGCTGATGACGGGCACTCACCGAGTAGGATGCGCCCCTACACTTCTGGACCAAAGCCTGCTGTGCGTGAAAGAGCCCAGGTCTCGGTGACGGTGCCGATCTGGTGAGGCTGAAGTGGTACTTGCGATCCTGCGATCACTTATGAGCAAAGACACCAGCGGGATGAGGCGCAACGTAGCATACCATACTGAACACCATCATATCAAGCCATGTTTGAACTGGCTTCGGCTCGCTGGCACGTGGTACGCGCTCAAAGCGTACCCGGTAGTCGGAAGGGATGCCGGCACCAGTTCAGCGTCGGCCTCGCGAAGACCTTTCAGTACAACGCGCAAACGTTGCTGTGCATCGTCAGATAGCAAAGCGGGGAAGTACTCTTGAGGAACTCCGATGCGTAGGCCTGCAAGGTTGTCTATCTTCGCCAAGCTAGACATGTACTCGTCGCATCCTGCTTTGTCCTTGAGATGGAAGCGGAGGCTGGGTCCTTGGGGTCATAGTGGAAAAGGCTTTCTATAGTCACGTCAGCGTTGCGACACCGACATCGTCAAAGTGTCCTTACCGAAGAGCGTGCGAGTAGTGTCGATATCCTTCCGCCAGAAACTAAGCCAGCGGGCGCCAAATCCGGCGCCAACGTGATGAAAGCATCCAACGGGTCATTTCGGGCAGCAGTAGTCTGCCTTCAATTGTTCTAGCGCTCCGAGAGGTATGCACAGGGCGCCTGTCCCAAGAGTACGCGAATACCTACCCCGCAGAGCATGGGACGCGACGGTGGAAAGCAAGATCGTGTCTACCTCTGGACGCGTCGCGTCGAAACCCGCTCGCGCGCGTCAAGAAGGCGGCTCCTTCCACCACCACCACCACCACCACTCTCTCTCTTCTCGCTCAGACCAATATATCAAATGCGATAAAGCAGAACCTATCAAGAAGGCTGATCCACCCCTAAAACGCTCCGTGAGCTTCGCGGAGAAGGATGGGAGAGGAAAAGGTCCGCGCGCTGACCCATCTGACTTAGTCAGGAGAATAGAAGTAGGCAGGTTTATGCACCATTACGGTATGTTCCTACTCTTCACTCGAAATCGTCATCTAATGTCTGTTGCACAGGCTCAATTACACAATTCTTCCCATCACGCTTCCATCTCCTCTCCGCATCCGAAGATGGCAGCCTCGCCCGCCCCCTTCCGTGCACGAAATTGCGTCGTCTTCCGCACATTGAAGGGACATACTGGTCGCACTAACTCTGCTGCTACATGCCAACGGAAAGCTCGCACTATTCTTCGGCCGCGACCGCACGCTCCGTATATGGGCCTTAATGTGAGGGAAGGGCAGCGCATGTACCAAGTTTGGTGTGGAAGGGCAGCTCTTGATGAGGAGAAGAAGCGATAGAGAGTAGTACAAGGGGAGCTGGTACAGGGGAGCTAGTGGAAGCACAGTGCTGGTAGTGGGAGTTTATACTACTATCAGACTCCAGCCGCGGTAGCTACATCAGGGAGCATCGCTCTCATATAGAATGTATCTGGTTGCAATCACTAGTAATGAGGCTCAGTCAACCGAATGCATGGCAGATATTGGGTAGAAATAGAACTCACTCTATTCAGTGGAAGAGCGTGTATCACAGGTCTATTGATATAAGACCACGTTTCCCACTCCGTAACGCAGCAATGACAGATCACTTGCTCAAGGGCCACCAGGTCAATCTCGTCCTCGACTTCAGCATAGTGAAGTTTGCCAGCTGCAAGCGGCCAATCACGATACCAGTCGTATCTTGAGTCCGCCTGAAGGAGGTCCTTGAAATAGCGAACGGCGACGAACGTCTGTGAGGAGGTCGAAGCGGGCGTAGTCGGCTCGGAGTATGTTATGAGTTGGACGATCTTGCCGAGACGCCAAGCCGCCGGGAAGGTCCCAACTGCGACGTAACAGTCAGGAGAGTTCACGGAGAACGTGGCAGCTCCGACCGAGACCGAGCGCACGATGCTCGCATGGTGAAATAAGAAAATGGCGCCTGAGCGAGTTATGCTATTCCGTAACTGCGCAAGGACAGACGGTTCGAAATCGTCAAGCGAGGGTCGTTGAGAGGATGGATGCAGCGGGGCTGCCCGGTCTTCGTCAGGTCCGAGGGACAGGAAGTCACTGAGCATGGTTCCACGCTTATCCGACTCGAAACACTCCTCGAAGATGGGCTTGAACCCCTGTAGCTCCGCTGTCAGGCCGCCGTCAAGAAGGGCAGCACGTAGTAACTGGTTCATGATGAAACGCTCAAACATTGTTCGCTCGAGAGACCCTATGCGTGTATTTCAGCGAGTGAATCACGAGCGAATCCGAAAGATTTGGTACCAAATTGATTGTTCGTGTTGATCTGTTGTAGCAGAAAGTTCCAACGTTCAAAGACGAAGCAGCGCCATGCATGAGTAGGGCCGAGGCTGAGAAGGAAATAAGGAAGGTGAAGGGAAAGATGTTGCTGTGATTCGATCAACACGCCTGGGAAGAGGTCAATAAGGCCCTGGATCCATGCCAGCATGTTGTCGAAATATTGCTCGACAACTTCGTTGTCGATCTCCCTGGAAGATGCGAGATTTGTAGCAGTGACGAGAGCCATGAAGTTATCCAGCAGCGCGCGCTCACGCGAGTCGAGAGGGCAGGGTCCCCATAGTCGAACCATCGTGACAACCAGATTGATAGTGATGAAGATTCTGTAATCGTCCGCGCCGACCTTGCGATGCTGCTTATCTCCGATGTGATGCGGCGCGTGCCCGACCCAGGTTGGCGTGATCGTACGATCCATGTCGGCCCAAACTTCTGCGAGGCGGCGTTTCCCTAAGATGGCCGTGTTCTTAGCCCCGGCCAAATTGCTCGCTGTACGAGTATAGCGCACGGGGTCAGGCCGTTTCGTATTGCCTATAGCGTCTGAGAAGCCTGCATTAAACCTCTGAATAGATCAGCAGGTGTAGGAGACTGAAGTCTGTTTGATGCTTACCAACTCCGTGATCCTCTTCACGAGCGCCTTCTTTTTACCACGCTTACCCCACAACTTGTATCTCTCCGACGTCTTGTCGTAGTTGCTCCGAGGGAGCTCCATCTTGTATACAAGAAACGCAATCAAGACCTTTGCCGTAAAGTCGAAGAAGACACTGGCATCCGGTGCGCATTCAAAGAACACATCAAGAGAGGCAATCTCTACAGGATTTGCGCCGAGCTCGAGCACCTGGAGAGGATCGTGAGGGAGCTCATCGAGAGCGGGTTCCTTCAGACGCTCATCTTGCGCGTTGAACCAGCCTAACTCGATGCGCTAGTAGTACAATCAGCGATGAACAACATGAGTGTCTCGAGACGCACATGCTTCACAAGCGCATCCACGAACGTGATCTTGTGATTAGCGCGAGGGCCGATGATTCTAGGCATGGCGATATTCTCCCTTCGAACGAGTCCTCGCAAGTCGTCCAGGGTAAATTGCGACAGGGCCTTCCTTGGAGACGCGCGTACGTGGCGCCATATCTCATCAAGCATCTCAGGATGGGGAGGGAGCGGAGCCGTATCGCCTCGAGTCCCATCTCCATCCTCCAGACTGGCGGACATGTTCCAGTAGAGACGAACCAGGCGTTTAAGGTTCCCCAAGAGGAGTGCGTGCATCATATCGATGACGGTACAACGCAGCGGGTCCCAATATGGCAACTCCAAGAGTGCCGAGTACCGTATCCCGGTCGCAGACCAGATCCGTGACTTCTCTTTGGCGTTACCGGCCCGCCATGCCTCAGCGCAAGCCCGATGCTCGCCCAGCGTGCGAGCAACCCAGGTTTCATAGTCCACGTTATTGCGCTCTTGATAGGTTAATTTGCAGTACGGGCAGAAGCGGGTGTGGTTGTGACGGGCAAATCCAGAGACGTCTCGTCCAGCTGGGCTATCGCACACCACGAGGAAAAGGGCGAGCCGGACTAGTAAGCCTCGATCATGAAGTGGAGTACGATCGTAGAAGACGCCCTTTGTCCAGAACTCGAGCAACTGCTGGACTACGAGAGCAAGGATATGATTAATTTGATCCTCGGTGGGCTCTTTTGGACCGGGGATGAGACCGATGAAGAACATGTTCTCGACCTTGTAGCGCAAATGAGGCGGCAAGTTCAGGCAGATGAGGTACATTGCCGTCACAGACGCCCTTCGCCCGGTCTCTTTTGCCTGAAAGGGGTTGAAACCGTCGACGTTCAGTGCGAAAACGAGGCGTAGCTCGCCATGGACAACGCGTAGGAACTGCGAGCCGTCTGGACCTATGAACGCTGACATCTGAGGCGCGTCCCAAAGGTCGGACATCCGCGCTTTGGGTGTGGGGGTTTGCAACAAGGACGCCATGATGCCAGGCCTGCAGAGAAAGCGGCCTAACCATTCTTTGAGATTCTGAAGGAGCAGCTGTCGAGCAGGGTATGAGTGCAATCGGCCGTTGATCCTCCTGTGGCGCATGAGGGAGTGCTGGCATGCTGACGTGGACCCAGTCGGCACGTTGACACAGGTCTCGGGGTAGGAACCGGGACCTGTGTTGGCGTATGGGGCGAAACAAGCCGGGCAGCAAACGTATGCATGGTAGGCGAAGGCGAGGTCCAACTTCTTCAAAGCAGTTGTCGAGTCGACGGGGATGCTCGCGAGGACGGGCTTCACGACTTTGGGGTCGACCCCGAAACGTCCAGATGATAAACCCAAGAGGAGGCGCATGCTCTTCAAGAAGAAACGACAGAAGGCCAACGACACGCCACAGAAGAGGACGGCTGATCCGGCGATGATGCATATCGCCGCAAGAATCGGTTCTACAGCACTCAAGGGCTGTCGCATGTAACGCTCGGTCCGCACCAGCGCTACTCCCTCGGATTTGGAGACACGGAACATGTCCCGATTCTGCGCCGTGATGAAGTCGAGTTTCTGAGCCTGGGAAATCCAAGCCTGGCGCTGCGCGTCGAGAAGTTCGAGCCAGGCGGCGTCAAGTCGTAAACGAAAGGCGTTCAGCTGGACTTGTACATCCGGCCACTGCGCCTCTTGAATTTGATCTAGGCTCTCATGCAAGTCCCAAATGCAGGCCTGGCGCTGCAGAAACGAGTAGTTGGCGGAATGGTCTGCACGCAAGGGAATGCATGACGGATTCGCGACGTTAACAATGGCACTTGTCGTGGGTGTGGACATGAAGACGTAGTCCTCGTCGAGCATCTCCAACTCAGGCATCGCGGAGAAAATCAATTCCAAGTCTTCAAGCATACGTTTGCTGCGGGATTCTTCTATAGAAGGCATTGGGGGAGGTGGTTCGGGGACTGTTGAAGTTCAGGTGTTAGATATCGAGAGTTGTCTCCAGCGTCGAAAACACGCACCTGTCTGAGTTTCGACATCTATACCGCGGGCCCGGTCGCTGGAGGTATGCGCATCGTACTCCTTTTTCCCGACAATGCGACCGTTTCGCGGCAGTAGGCTCACTGGGTCAACACATTTACTGTCCCGGCATCCGTGAGTAGAGCATGAGCAGACCCAGAGGCTCTTCGGCGGCGCATGAGCACGCATTCGAATCTGGGGTGGATTGGAGATATCTAGTAGAAGTGGCATCAGACTGTAGACTCTGACACCGTACGTATAACGTCGCTTACAGTGGCAAGATCGACAACAGTGATAGACAAGATGCAGCGAGAGTGCCCCCGTGGTTAGACGTGCTCTAATATTCGATTGAGCAGAGTTGCACTCGAAGATACTACGGGCTTACAGTAGTGACCTGTCGATTATGTGTTGCAGGAGGTTCGGCGCGTTGATACAGCAAGACTCCTAGCTGCACTGTGCGGCTGGTGGTGGTCGTAAGGTAAGGCTTTAGCATGCGCTTCGCGAAGACCATGTCAGAGACCGTTTGTTCCTCTTCGGGCTGGTTATTTGATGCGGTACACAGTACGTATCCACCAGATCTATTGTTCCAGAATCTACCGGATCTAGACTTCAGAAATGGGGTCTCGCATTGTGGTGTATCATCGCTATAATAACCTTGAGCGCGCCGTAAGATTCTCAAGGATGACGGACAGCTCAACTGCGGCGAACAGCTCATTTGAGTCTACAAGTGGCATTGATTAATGATGACTGTTTCGCGCGACTCCCGTGGCCGCCGTAGCGGGAAAAAAAGAATGCACTATTGGCATGGTGACGGCGGAAGTTCAGGTTCACAGCAGTTGGTGAACCCGAGATCCTCGCCAATCGTGATGATCATGATAGCGTCATTATCGATTATCTACTATCAAGACCCTTGATCATCAGAGATTAGATGCGCACGGCGAGTTGATGCTGTCAGTGTCAAAGAACCGGTACCGGTCATATCACTCATTGAGACGTACTCAGTAGTGGTCGGCTCCTCAGTCGCCCAGCCGTTAGTGGATCCTTGCCTCGTTCGTAAGTTGCTATGATAGTTGGGCTCTCGTGGTGGAGACCGGCCGCGGACTAAGGCTTTCACGCGCGTCTCTTCGGGTATGTACTCGCGCCATTCACCTCTTCGGGGCTCAATCTACTCGCTTTACGTGTAAGCAAGGCGTGAGCCGCAATCAGACTGCAGTAGGGCCACCTCTCGCAATGCTGGCTACTGGTTCGTGGTTGAAGTTGGTTGTAGCCTGTGGGCCCGAAACGCGGGCATCTGACCGTCGGGATCAACGCGACGCGTCGAACCTCGCCGCCGTGTTCGCGCGCGCGTTGGGCCGCAGACTCGTGCATCAACGCGACGCAATGCCGAGCGGCCAAACCTCTCTAGGTTGACCGCTCGGGAAGCCTCCCAGCAAAGCGCCAGTTCTCTTGACATCAAGAGGGGTTGGTGGGTGGGGCGATGATTCTCTATCGACGAATTCGGTGGGATCGTCGATGCCTGAGGAAAACCTGGCATTGCTCTACCTTAGCTGAGCATACAAATCTTGCGGTCCTTGCGCGCGTTCGTGAAGGGACTACCCCAAGTAAGGTATAGCTCATGTCAATCAAGCGCAGCACTAGCTCTCAATCTAGCAAGCGGCAAAGTGAACGCGGCGGAGCGGTTGCGCGACGCCTGCACGTACCGTCAGACAAGGTTGTATACACGCGTTAAAGCCCGCTGGTTGCGACACCGCTTCATCAAGCGTGCCGCCTTGTGACCTGCCTCTTCTTCTCGCAGAAGGGACGCCGCTGAAAGGGCATGATCGAATTTGAGATGAACACGAGAAGGACACATCGTGGGGATTACCAGGGAGGGTACTAGTCAGTGATATGTAGTGCGTGTCGAGATGTAGGGGATAGGGCGAGCAGCGAGACTCCGTAGCACGTAGCTTGTATCACTCAGGTCTTTCTACCTCGCCTACACAAGACATGTCCCATTGGAAGGAGAAAGCTGCCAACTTCGAGTCTGGGCTCGGAGAAAGATGGATGTGCGTACCAAAAGCACACTCGCCAATCCGTGATCCGGCTCTCACGCTTCTACGTCACGGCTCGCGGTGTACCTTGAGCTTGATCCTACTTGACCTGACTTAACCCGCCGCATCTTCGTCGCCCTCTTCTCCCCGTTTCGTGTAGGCATAACAGCGTCTGAAGTCCCATGGCGGCTCGCGTCGATATCATCTCTTCTATGACCCCGCCATTGCGCCGCCCCGAACATGTTTCGATCATAACGAACACTCCCCGTGAACCTTCTTCGCCACCGCACATCCCGCCGCCGGTCATAGCGACGACAATTCATGATCTCCCTCCCGAACTCCTTATCGACGTCTTCATGCTTGGCCAGAAAGCTCACGCAGAGTCGTACGCTGAGGAACGTGGCGACGTAGGCTGCGTATTTGTGCCATTCGAGATTGTGGCCAGCCATACTTGTCAGCGATGGCGCGACATAGCCTTGATTACGCCCAATCTATGGACATACGTCGATTTCAGCGAAGGTTCTGATTTTGGGCGCTCGAAGACCTATCTCGAACGCTCTCGTGATGCACCGCTCGATATCATCATCGACTGCACTGAACTTCCCGGCGACCGCGACGCGCAGGAAGACGAGCATGAGGAAATCTTCGTAATGCCCGAGCCGCAGCATGCTCTGCCCCCACCTCCCTCTCCCTCCACTACAACCTTGTCCCTCGCGTCTCGCTCGCAGGCGCGCTCATCCGCCGCAGGATATATTGCCAGGCGCCCCAGCATCAGACATGTAAATCCGGAAGATATTCCCGTTATCCTGGATCTCATTCTTCCACACGCGTATCGCTGGCGTACTTTCGACTTCCGCGCTTCCTCATACGTCGCTATACACGACATATCGCACGCTCTTGCGGCACTGCCAGAGGCTCCTCTGCTGGAGGAATTGCATCTGCATCATTATAACGAGAGAGACGGAGATGCCGAGCATTTTCCTTATCAGGAGATGAAGGCATCCGTGGCGCCATTCCGCGGAATCGCCCCGAAGATGAACAATGTCTCGCTCTGGGGCGTGCATCTCGATTGGGCAAACTGTCCTTTCTTGTGTTCGCGTACTCTTCAACGCCTAGAGCTGGTGTATCATGCGAAGGACGTCCGCCCCTCCTTCCCTACTTTTCAAACGATCTTATCGAGCGCGCCGCTCACTACTCTCTGTCTCATCGCGTCGTCGCCCTCCGAAACTCCTGATAACTGGCCGGCGAAACGCATTGATCTATCGACACTAACCTCTCTCACCCTCGGACAAATTTCGCCCACACATGCCTCGGCCCTTCTATCTCGCTTGCACATACCCTCGCTCCGGCATCTCACGTTGGACTTCGACATGGATGACTACTCCGATACCCTCGCCGTCCTGTCCGACCCCGCCCGCGGGCTCGCACAAAATCTGGAATGCCTCAAACTTAAGGGTTTGATGGCAAGCCGTCCATCTCGGAGAGCATTCTACGCCGCGTTAACGGGGCTTAAGGAGTTGAAGATGCAGGCGTGCTATCTACCTCTGCACTTCATGGATGCTCTAATCCCGGGTGCTCTCAACGAAACCCACCTCCAGCCTGAGGGTTTCCTGCCTTCCGCGTCAAATGAACTGGTCGCCTTGTCGTCGCTCAAGTCCCTCACGCTGATGGGTGCCCCCGGCGACCTCCTTCGTCCCCTCGTTGCTGAGCGACGTATGGCCGGTGCTCCCCTACAAACTCTCATGGTCGACGCGAGAACTCGCCTAGCAAGAGGGGACGAGGAATGGTTGCGTGGCAATGTGGATAGCTTCGGCTTTTATGACGCCTCGGAAGACGAAGATGTGGATGAGGCAGCCTCGGACTAGAACCTTGGATACCTGGGTGTCTGAAGCAACGATCTGACGCGTACAACGGGGGGGCAAGAGACTGCGAATTCCGGGTCGTGTTAGAAGAGGCGGATATTCTCGAAAATAATGTAACCATGTATCTTCTGTTATAGTATACGACTCGAATGGTGGACCTCTACCAAAACAATGTCGAATGTTCAGTACTCAGTCTATGTATCTCTGTGGGTGACCAACTCAAACGTCGTCGATACGGTGTCGTGAGCATGTGTGCACTTGATACTTCTGACAAGGCACGGCGGGCCGCTCACCTCGGGCCTGGACGGCGTTCGATGCTTTTTTTGGTCATTACAGCGTCGCGCCTAGGCGCCCGGCGTTCGATGCTAGGGTGTCCTACTACGCACTGTCCTTCGTAAGATGAGAACACAGTACAGAACGCGAAGGATCCCCTTCTGCAACGCTTTAGGGCGTGGCGGCCACCCCTAAGCGCGGTCACATGAGAACAGTGCACGACGCGTCACCAGGCGTCGCCGAGCGTACCAGGGAAGGCGCGATTCGCGAAGCCAAACGAGCCCCGAACTGCTACGTGCAGGCGTACTTCTATACGAAGCAGCAGGGGCATGGAGATCTCTCCGCTGGCGCAGTGCTGTGTGCTGAACAAGGTGTGAGAGAGGAGGGTGGACGAGCAAGAATGAAATTGTGAGCGCGATGCGAGCGAAGGTCGCGGCCGCAGAGTAAGAAGCGGGCGGTGATCTCCAAAGCACACGAAGCTTACTTTGATGGCAGGGCTTTAACACTTTCTGCTCCGGTCTTTTGCTCGCTTCACCTTGCGTCGAATGCATGTACTTAGTGCAGAATCATGAGCACATGTTCGACTTCCCTAGTCACTGATGGAAGATCATTGATCGCGGATGACGGTGGCCAACATCCAGTCCAGAAGCGCAGTGTATTAAATAGAATCATGTAATCATGAGGATAGCAGGGGAAAGGCAACGTATGGTTTGAGGGTTGTGAAGTGATTTCGAGAAAGTATGATGGAGGACCGTGAGGAAGCGGTGAGAGATGAGAACTCTGGTTCAGGAATACACGTGCGGCTATAGTATCGTTTAAGTACGGTGATCAGAAATACGGAAGCTCAGTTCGACATCATCTTGGATCTCCTTCCAAAACGCCCACCCACGCAGAATCTCATCAACAACGATCAAATTTAACCCGTGACCCAGGGCCTTCCTGGTACGAACGACGGACCGAATAGCAGCGAGACTCTCCGCGCATGCGAGTTCCCTGTCCTTGAGCCACGACTTTTCGACCTTCCGAGGTTTCTCAATGCGAACGTCAATGGCTCCAAGACGAGGGAAGTACGTGAATGGAGTGGTGTCGTCCTCTGAATTGTACTCGGCGAGCCGAGGTAGCAGCATGACACAGTCGCCGATGTAGATGCTCAAGCGCTCCACGACTCTGGCACCTGCAAATGCACCCCACCAAACTTCGCTATCCAGATAGGCCCTCGCTGCCTCGTGCTCCAGCGCGATGGTGCGTACGGTTTGCAAAGGTATTGCAATAGTCCCATCGTGCCATGAGCAGGAATCAGGGCTGCACTCGAGATCGAAGTTGAAAGCGATGAGAGAAGAAGCCCCAGGCATGTCCGCGTATGTTTCCAACTCCTCGGACATTGGCGCAGACATCGGCCAATTGCGTTCTAAGGATGATGGCCAGTCCTCGGAGTTGTGGGTCACGAACGCCTTCTCGCCAAGGAGAAGGTGTAGAGGGGGACTCTGATGACGGTAGGCGGTTTGGATGGCCGAAGAAATGAGGGATAGTGCGATCTGCCCAACGTCGCTGTTGATTGACCAGCCTGTGTTCGTTGAGCTGCTGACAAGAACATCGAGGTGTATGTCGTGGCGGATGTCCAGATATGTGAGCAGTGTCAGAAACTCGAGCTCTTGAGAAGGGCGCGGCTCGACGCTGAGCAAAGATAGAGAGCGTAGCGTCGAAGGGACCGCTATCGACTGGTATACCACGCCCGGTTCGACGATGGGAAAGACATCTTGAATCTCCAGCGTCTTCAGCAAGGTCAAGTGCAGGAGGGCATCTGTAAACTCTCGCATAGTCGGCATGATGCCTTTCGAATATGCAGTCCACGCAAGAAGAACGAGGCGCTCGAGGCAAGGGCTGAAGAAAGGAGCATCCCAGCTCGATGGAAGACAATTCTCGAGCTCCAGATCGGTGATGTAAGAGCTGGAACAGAGTCCGACGGGGAGCGATGGGAACGTCTCGCCGTTATCAAGGTCCATGGCTACGCTGAGTTTGCGCAGGCTCAGGAAAAAGTGCCGAAAGTAGTCTTCGAAAAGGCGGAACGTCTCGATGGTCAATGAGCGAACATGCAGTTCTTGGATACGTTCAGCTAGCGCAGTCGCGATGTATCGGCGTCTTGGCTGGCAGCGGATCTTCTCGAGGGCGAGACCATGCAGATCGACACGGAGGGGGATGTTCTTTGTCCTCGCGAGGGATAATGAGAGGAGGGAGGGCTGTATGGCAAAGTGGTCGGCAAGATCTATCCAGAGCTGCGGCGCATTCAAGGCAATCTACACGGATACGTTAGCCAAACTCCATAGGGAACTGTCATCAAATTGACCTTTCTCCAACGCGCACAAACGTGGGTAACCACTATCCACCCCGAGCTGCAGTAGTTCTTGCGCGCGGGTGCATTCCCAAGTCCGGGTTGCTCCGAGACCGACTCCCGACGACGGCTTTCTTCTACCTGAGAGCCTTTGACGAACTCGAAGATTGCACAGACTACTTCGGAGTCGGCGTAATAGAGGAGGGAAGGCGCTATTTGCTGGTTTCGTAGGGTGGCGCTCAGTATTGGATCCTCATCCGCACGAGCAGCATGGGTCCTGCTACGAATACCGCGTTCAGCTCTGGCCGTAATGAATATTAAGAATCACGTACAGCAGATGACTGAGAGGCGCAGACATGATCCACTGGAAAGATAGGGGAGCGGGCGTGCGCTCGTAGCCAGTCGTATTCTCGTCTTATACCAGATATTACGTCGGAACCCATCAGAGCCGCGCATGCCAACGGGATCGTGATCCCTTTGTCCCCAAATGTAGATGCAAGGCGTCGGGCAGAGTCAGGAATGCCGCTGTAAACGGTCTTGGGCGTGTGCTAACCCATTGTGCCCTAGCAGGAAGCTGCCGGTAGCGCGCCCGAGAGGTAAAGTCTGTTCGCCGGCCGGCGCGACGGGGCCGTTACTGAGGTTCGGTGTGCTCCACATTGACTTTCCTTGACCTCGCACGGAGAAGGCAACTTTATGAACTGGTCATGGATGCACTTGTATGACTGGGTTTCCTTCCGAGATCAGGATAGAGTGAGCGCGACAGATAAGGGGACTCACAAGCCTTAGTCAGAGTCTCATGGCGCAGAGATACCTCGGCGACCGGAAAGATCTGCATCGTTGGCCCAGAGATCTGGAGAGCGTTGTTGTCCGCCACTCGGGAAGTACAGGTTACGGTTGCTGATCGCGTGCTTCATCCCTCGTACCATACAGGAAACGATCATTCTCGCGCATCTGTGGTGTCTTGATGAGAGCTTAAGTGATGGAGAGCGCTCAACCTTGTACACTGACCGCGGTTGCGAAGAGCTGGGGCGGTGTCGGTGATGGACTGTGATAGAACAGAAGCAGAAGTGCAAGAACTCAATTCGGTTCTTAGTACATCACGAAACACGATCACGTGAGAGACGCGTCAGGCGCGTTGCAGGGTTTGTCGCGAGATCGCGGGAGCCGTCAACTAGTACACGAGATAATTTGCAGCTCAGATAGCTCAAAAACGAACGTGTTTAGGTGAGGCGTGGAGCGATGGGGACAGATCGGTCTGAGAAATCTTAAGTACCAAAACAGATTTTCTTTTGCAAATATCGGGGTACGCGAAGCCCGTCTCGCTGCATGTGCATCCAATCCTTATAAGGTAATACGTATACAACTGGATGGAACGCGCATCACCAATATATATAGTCATCAGATCAGTACACATTCGTCGAACGGGACGGACATAGGACATGGAGGGAAATTATGCCACAACAGTATGGTACATCAAGACAATGAGCGACCGCCAGCGATCGACCAGCGCAATCATGTGGGCCATGCTCACACCTTCTCAACTCGAGCTGCAACCTTGCGAGCTCCCTTTGCCCCATTCTTCTTGCGCGGCGCCCTGGCGCGTTGGAGTAGCGCCTGTTCTTGCGCCTGCTGAGCCGCCTTGACCAGAGCCTGCTCTCTGTTGTTACGTTGCCGAGAAGATTTGCGAACACCTTCGCGGGCAGCGTGGGTCTTGGGTGCCGCACGCCGCGCGGGCACAGGAGAGGGACAGGGCGGGGGAGAGGGAGAGGGCTGCGAAGAACTTGAATCCTCGTGAGGAATATTGGGCGAACCTTGACGCGTCCGAGGAGCGTCGGGCGAGCCTTGAAGCGCCCGAGGAACGTCGGGCAAATCCTCACGCGTCCGGGAAACGAAAGAAGAGGTGAGCTTGAGAAAATGGGGCGCCGCTGCAGGCATCGCAGGCGAAAAAGCTGCCGCGCTGTAGTTGGGGGGGTCACTGGATCCAACTATCGCCCCGACGAATGCAGATACAGGGCGGGGTGACAGTGCAGCGATAGGCGCGGTCAAGAAAGATTGACCAATGGAGTCGAGTTGTAGGTCAATAGTGGCGTGCAGCTGCAGCTGCTTGTCTGTAACGGCGGGCGAGTTCTTGATCCAGGGAAAGTTCGCGACCTGTGACATAGACCATCTCGTCTCTGGATTCGGGTCTAAGAGCCCGTCCAAGATCTGTCGGCCTGCAACTGTAGCTTCAGCGACATGCCAAGAACGGGCATTGGCAGGGTCCAAACCTTCAGCAGGGAGATGCTTAGACGCCACCAGATCCCACCGGACCACTCGCGATTGAAGCCAGGGTTTAGGAGACGATAGCGAAAAAACAACGTTCGTATCGAAAGGTTTGTGCTTGAGCCCGATGAACCTGAGCGCTCTGAGTCAGTTGTGGGGTACAACGGCAAGCGGAACACCACTCACAAATGAAACGCCGTCGCGCCCGCGCTGTACGAGTCAACTTTGTTCGTGTATCCGCGCATATTTGCTATCTCGGGCGCCATATAAGCGAAACTTCCCACGAACGACTGGGATATGCACATCAACGCGGCGGTCACGACTTTGGCGAGCTACCCACGTACCTTAGCCTCTCCGTCCTCTACGTCCACTCGACGTGCAACTCCGAAGTCCCCAATGACAACCAATAAAGCCGGGTACAATGCTTTCACGAAAATATTCTGAGGATCCGTGAGACATGAGTCATGTACCAAGAAGGCAAGAGCGCACCGCGGGTTTGATATCCCTGTGTACGATGCCGTGAGCATGAAGGTGAGTGAGCCCGCTGGATACTTGCTTCAAAATGGTGCGAAGCTGTGAGATTCCTGTGCAAAAACGAGTGTGGTGAGTGATAGCTGGGTCAAATGCGTGCGAGAGCGAAGTACTGACCAGCGCCAACGGTGTCATCGAAATGTTGGGTCAGATCGCCAAGTGGCATAAATTGCATAACGATGTCTATTATGATGCGGCGATGAGGAGGTGAGAGATAGCTGTATCAGTTCGGAGACTCACATATCATGTGATGGGTTTCATCCTCAAACACTTCAATGAAGGGACATATGTTCGGATGTGTGCGCGCCTCGCCGGCCAAGAGGGCCAATTCCGCCCGAGCGTCCTCTCGATCATTCCTTCCGTGCGCCTCGTTGTAATCAAGAACCTTGACAGCGTATACGCTACCTGGCTGAGCGCGAAGATAGAACTTGTATACATCGCCATATGATCCCGAGCCGAGCTTGGTCTCGCATCCATACTTCGAAAGGAAAGGGCTATGATGACCCCATAGCAGCTGGAAGATGCATCCTGAAAACCAAATATAAGCGCCCACGCAGCCTCGTCAAAGTAGCGGGAGCGTACCGCACGAGTCTTTCTTATGGACCGGGCCCAGCCAGATCTGATCACCTTCCTTCAACTCGATCTTCACCAGAGGGGCAAGTCGGCGCCCATTGATCTGTCGTACTAAGGTAAGCACTGAATCGTAGAAGCGTTGGCGCCAGTAACATACGTAGGTGCCGTTAAGACTCTTCTGGTCCTCAATGAAGGCGACGTTCGTCTCGGGGTTCCAATAGATCAGAGCGTGCAAGGCGCCTAGTAGTACCCCGTCAGAATGCGATGCCCACCAGTCAAGGGACAACACGCACTAGCATTGAGTTTACTGGGGTGAACCCATACGTCCTTCGGCACGTCCGCGACCTTGCCTCGTCCGACAGACCAGATATTCTTGGCTGTAGAAAGGAATACGCCGTTGCGTTGAGAAGGTACCAAACCGCCTTCCATGGGTTTGAGCTTGGCGAAGAAGTTGTTGAACTGCATAGCGAGTGTATGAGACAGGGAGAGTAGGGCAGGATGGTTGCCAGCTGCACGGTTTATGAGTATTTATTCGAGAGATACGTGTAGGGAAAGACAAGAACCTTCACGCGCGCGTTTGGCACAGCTCTGCTTGTTCCCGATCCGTGTATTCACTGGGTGTCGCGAGGCTGGAAACCTGAAGGCAACGCTGTACGACTCGGGCGAAGACCGGAGGACCAGCGCTCGAAGGACACGGCAAAGTTTGTCTTTGATGCGACCCAGCCGGTCGGCGTCAACACGGGCTCCCGTCTAGCTATGGCAAAGTGGGATCGTGCAGCATTCCTTTCCTGGAACAAAGCGACAGACTGAAGGTACTTCAAGTCACCATACCCAACATTGCGGTGACAGAGTACTAAGGAGGTGAATGATATTGACAACACCGCGTATTGACGGAAAGACCGTCAGCGTACGTGGCAAGGTGCGGAATTTCGCGAGAAGCTCGGAACGGAGAACGGTCCGAGTGCCGATGCAGCAACACCTGCGTAGATCGACTTGTCCCGCACAGCCGTGCATTGCATTGACCTCCTCCAGAATATTGTACTCCAATTCGATGTGGTCTGGGCTACCGGCGCGTGCACTCCGAACCGTGCTGTGCACTCGTTACCACTCACTTGGGCAGCGAGCTCGGTGCGTAACCAAGTGTCCAATTGCGCAGGGATACCGCTCATCATCCTCTGCATACGTACCGTAAGGGCTTGACCTAGATGAGGACAATGGAAACTTCACAACGGGCACCTAAGTTCGTCTGCGGCACAAGGCACCACCTTAGCATAGTGCGGATGACGAGATGCCAGTGGTCGTGAAGGCCGAGTCCAGATCTTATTTCATTCACGTACTTGTCCATCCACCCCTCCACTACCCGCGAAGAACCATGTCCAGTGTCTCTTTCCAGGATGTCTTTGGGAGTATATCCCCTCGGGTTCCGTCTCCTGGTGTTCCTGCTCGTATACATCTTCATAAAGATGTCGCCTCGTACTCGATCGGCAGCTCTGATATCTGTGACATCCAGATTACAGGGCATGAACTAGTTGGTATGTCTGTGTCATTCCTCGGAAGCAAATTCCTGACGGCAAACAGAGGAGTATCACTGCACCATCCAGTATGACTTCGAGACGGGAATGGCGACGGTTAAGGATCGATCTGGTCATGGCGGTACATGGGTGCGCATCGTCCGCTGAGGTTTTTGTCGGCGTAACTCACTATGAACAGCTGAATGGTACAAAGGTGTCGACATACGCTGGACAGACCCAGACTCTCCGTGGTGAAGTACAGTTATGGCTTGGAGCCCCGATTCTTCCGGGGTCTTTCGGTAGGTCGCATGAAGTCTCCAGACGTTCCGCTCGCTGACCTAGTGCTCAGGCTTTGTCTATAAACCCACCATATTGCACTCGCCTGTTCTGGAGGATCGATATGTGATCCAATGGGACATGCCGTTGGGCGCCGGCGCCTCTGGAGTAGTATGGAAGGCAAGGAAGCGGCTCAGCTATGGCCCTAATGCCGTACGGCGAGCTATCAAAACCCTTCACTACGAAACCGGGGACGAGCAACGCCGTGCAGCAATCATCAACGAAGTTGAGATAGCCAAGCAACTCAGTCATCACCCTAACATCTGTTCGTTCTTCGAAGTTCTTGAGGACCCATCGATTGGCCAAATGTGTATGTGAACGTCACTTCATGTCGCTCTCGTTCTGTCAGATAGTGAAGCTGACGGTGCCTTATAGATGTCGTGCTAGAACTTGTCGAGGGACTCAACCTCGAAGAATACGTTCTACGCAAATCCCGGCGGCGGCCCGGCAAGGGTCTCGGCACGTTACTCCTTTTACGGAGCGTACACTTCGCTGATGACGGACACAGGTACTGTACTTACAAGATACATCACAAAGCAACTCTGCAGCGCCGTCTCGTTTATGCACTCTTGTTCTATCGCTCACCGCGACTTGAAGCCTGCCGTGGGTCGTCACGCCCTGACATCGTATTTGATACTTATAGCTGTCTCCTGTGGCAGAACATCTTACTCTCGCTCAAAACCGGTTCTGCCCCCACGGTCAAGGTTTCAGACTTCGGATTGTCCAAGAGGTTCAAAGAAGATGTGCTACAGGTGAGGCGCACTGCTTGGGCTGGAGAAACGAACTGATCTATCGACTAAGACTGTATGCGGCACGCTCGCGTATGTCGCCCCGGAAGTTGCGCATCGGCATCATTTCAAAGTGGGATATGATGAGGGGGTGGACGGATGGAGTATTGGTGTCATTGTCATCTTCATGTATGTCCACAGTGTCTTGACATGGAGAGCAAAACACTGATGAGTGGCCAGGTTGACTTCCTCGTCGCCGTTCATCTGGCCCCGCACGTTTGTAACGGACCTTTGGAAGCAATTGGACGAGAGACGGCTGAACATGCAGCAACTGTACTCGGTGACTAGCGACAAGGATTGTGCGCATTCTTGACGCAAGCACTTCCCTGGCATCGTCTGACTTATGCTTGCCGCTACAGGTCTGGATTTTGTCAACTCTCTGTTGGTCCCAGAACCAGCCGCACGCCTCAGCGTGACGGAGTCGCTGAATCACGCGTGGCTGTCTCAGATCTGAAGGTCCGCGCGTTTGCCACTTGAATGCTGGGGAGGCCGATAGGTACGTGATATGTCCTCCACATACTGTAGCATCGTCTTACGGAATGCCGCTTAGATGATGAACGGCGAACTCTTTTCAGGGAGGGGGATGACGAAGGGTTCATATGCACGCTTATAGGACAGACACGCACGATTTACAAGTCAACAAGTCTGATGTATGGTTCAACTAGGTTTTAGTCTTCTGCTTGTGAACGTAAACACCTGAGTGCATTGCGCCGGTTCGAGCAACCAGGTTTTCTGCATCATCGTCATGTATCTACCCCATTATCTGAGCGTTACATCTCTGAGCGGTACATCTCACTACGGAGGAATGAGAACGCCACCTTACTGGTATAATCTTAACGCGGCCCAGTGCAGCGAGCGCGCTTGTGCGAGGGTAAAGCGGAGCAGTAAGTATAGACCACAGATTCCTGAGTGGCTATGGTATGCGTCCACTGAGCATACAGGCACGCAGCGGCTCCCTGTGATCACCGAGATCCGTTCACACATACAATGATACATCTCCTTTCGCCCTCACGTCCCTTCTGATTGCGATTGATGCAGTGTCATACGCTAGGAGTACTCTTCGGGACTCAAGCGTCAGACAGTGGTTGTTATCAGGAAGACTTTACTGGACAAGAGTTCATGACTTCTGCGGCTGAACGCTAGCCTCTCATATCTCTCGCGCAGGCTCGGCTACGCATTCGGCATATGGCTAATCCATGGCATTGCTAGAGTAGGATAATTACAAAGAATATCATCTCGCAGAAGCGACACCTGCGCCCAACAGAGACTGCCCTAAATGCGGTCATGCAGGAAGTCTTACGGTATCGACAGGTGTATACGATTGATGCATGTGAAAGCACTGCCTGTGCGACCCCACACTTCCACCACGATCCAGTCAATATTGACTTCACATAACGTCCGCATGTCATGCTTAGAAGGATCTATGCCGCCTCCCCGATCTTGAAGCAGTACAGGATCATGCTGCGCCGTTGACGATCGAATGTCGCCGGGGAATTGGTCCGAGAACTGCATACAAGCACACGGCAAAGCCTGAGACGTTGTAGGAGGGACCAAACCCCACAGACGGAACCGGGTAGGGTGCGTCCTGTCCAACTGAGGGCTGCTCGTTATCTGAAGTCTTGCTCCCACAACACGAGTAAGCTGTTGAAGCCGCAGACCTATCGTCCCATGTGCGCCAGATACCGGCCAGCAAGTGTTCGGCTCAGTAGTGTCCAGGAGGGTTGATGACGGTGATGAGGACATAGTGTAGGAAGGTTTGGACACAAAAGACTCGTAGATATAACGAAAGACGCGCTGGTCCAGACGGTCGGTTGAGTTGTATGATGGGGACGTCGTAGATGGGTCTATGACAGCGCCAATAGTAGCGTCGTCCGCTGCATGGGGGGTTGGGCACGGATCTTCCTCGGCGCCTGCAATCAGAGGTTGCGGATCGATTGACGAGTGTTGCTCCACTGCAGAGTACGGTAACCACGAATGCGAGATAGAAGACATCGTGGCCGAGGAAGGTGATGGGGGGGACTCGGTGTGAACCGTGACTTGGAATACGCATCCACGGCCCCGGAAGAGCAGTGAGGGACACCCCATGCCGTTAGAAATTGAGACGGGTGGGCTTTCACAGCTACATGACATTGCCACGGTCATGACAGACAGTCTGGCCTTCATATCGACGATGCCGGAAAGAAGGACTGCCCAGTGTGATGATGAAGGATCGCCTGATACCACCTCTTTAGACCGGAAAGCGACAAGAACAATCGCAAGCCACACGATGACCACCGGTAGAACGAATTTGATGACGCGTGAAGACATAGTAGTTGGCATCTGGGCTAGATGAAGTGCGGTCCGGTCGGTTCCGTCAGGCTAATTGCGGTGGTAAGACGGAAAAGAAGCTTGGTAAAGAGGTAATGGACGCACGGTTGGAGTACCATTCGGAAGATTGTTAGCTGCGACATTTGACGCGTTCTCAATCGCAAGTAGGTTTGGCTGGCACTGCTCGTTCGGCAAATGAGAGTGAGGTTGAGACTATTAATATCGACTTACGATACGACAGTCTTGCATCCGAGGCCGTAGATAGGATGCCTCCGTCTGCACGAATTGACTCCGATTGAACTCAGGTCCCCTCGTATCCCCAGACAGGACTACATGACCATTCATATGCAAAGGTTTCGATGTGGCGAATGCCAGAGTTGACGGAGGTACCACGCGGGTGGTGCGCATCAAGATAGTGAGGTATAGAGGCAAGCTGTGGTCCTTAGCTGGATGAGATGACGAATACCACGTGACAGTGACGCGCCAGTTTAAGCAATGCAGTGCAGACGAAGCTTGGTCGCAACCGCCATCAGTGTGCGCTTGTTCTCAATGCAGACTGAACCCGCCTTCAAGCTTCAAGACCGGCCATGGCTATAGGACGTTTGATGGCGCACTCAAATCCGTCTCTTAACTTAGCGCGCCCTACGCCCTCACGCCTTGACCCGCAACCATGCGGCCAACACGTCCTCCTTTCATCGAACATGACGAGACTTCCCTGGAGCGGCGTCTAGCTATGAACGACCTTTCTAGGCTGTTGGGGGACCGCAGGACGTTTACGAAGGCATTCGCCTTGAAGAGGGCGCGCGATCACCACAGTCCTCTGTTGGATGCTCTGGAGGACCATTTCAGTGCCAGCGATCTGCACGGCAAACTCTGGACTATTGAAGAAGTAGCAGACGCCTTGATCAGAGGACCACATCATGAGTCAATTGTGTAAAACCCTTGGTTCATGTGTAATGATGGTGCCGGCTAACTCAATACTGCTTCGTGTAGGCTCTATCAACATATCGAGACCTGGCTCATCAAACACTCCCAAGGCTGGCTGGATGACCTGCTCGCACAAACCGTCAGCAATAGTACGTGCTCTGTCTTTGCATCCTGTTCGCTGACGGAATGGAGTACTTTCACAGTGCGCGACGCGGTCGACGACACATTAGCTCCCCATATCGACAGCGTTGAAGGGTTTCAGGGTGCCCTCGACAAATTAGAGGAGGAACTTCGTACAATTATCGCCTCGCAGGTCACAGATTCAAACCGGCTACGCGTTCAGGTTGACGCGATGCAACATGCAGTCGATACGGCGTTCTCGAAGCAAGATTGTACGTCTGCCCGTGTCAGCAGGGCGAGCCTTCGTCGGACTTTGCGTTGCTGACACATCTACAGCCCCCGAATCGTCGAATACCGGCGTAACTCCAACTTCTTCGGGTTGCATGTCTTGCCTGCGTAAGACACTTTGTCCGCTCCCCCTCAACTTCACTGACATTCCATGCAGAGCTCTCGGGCGATATTGAGGCGCTGAGGAAGGAGTTGGACAGTTTGAAGAAATCCATACGGAACCTGCAGAATCCGCCGAGTAAGCCTTCATTGATGGAATGTGCGGATCCTGAACCTGATGTGTATGCTGGTCCAGATGATGATGTGGACGTTTGGGTGCCCTCGAATGGGCTTGAAGAGAATCAGGGTGATACTGTCCCCTCACGTTCGCTTGTCGGAAGGAGCCTGGATCTCGGGACGCTCAACCCTGGCTATATCCGGCAGGAGCACGACTCCTCGAGCAAAAATGCCACCGTATACCCTGCAGCCTTTCCCAGAGTCGAAGCGAGTCTGGAAGATGAACCCATCAACGCAACCGGTGACTCTTGGCAAACCGAGTTAACCAGGTACGAGCGCGGAATGATAGGCCAGTCTTACCTCATTGTAACCGAGAAAGTGCACGCTCATAGAACTTAGGTGCCCAGGATGTTACTTCGCCTTCGAAATTTGCCAGCATATCTAAAAGCGCCCCAATACGAGATGGTGAGATCTTACGTTCCCTTCTCGGTATCAGCCTGACGCTCGTTAGGTGGCATCTTCAACTCCTATGCTCGGACCTTAGCGACCTGGATGGAGCCCACGCTTCCCTTGCCCGTCGGTCGGGTTAGCGACTCGTCATCTGCATTCTTGCACACAGCCTTCGCATCCTTACCATACTCTCGTGAGCGCACAGCCCGTGCCGTCTTTATCGTCCTGATACTCTCTGCGGTGGTCTGGTATTTCTTGGACATGTCGCAGCACTACTCCTCTGATCTCCCTTTGAACGTCGATCTTGGTATCGTCGAGGTATCTATGTATGTATCTTATATGTTGTGGCTCTATGCATAGACTCCCATTTGTACCTTCCCGTTCCGATCTATTGGCTTCCTCCGCGTATACGCATTGTTCCCAGAAGAGTAATGAGCTAATTTGAAAGTTGCGTGGTTGTGACGCTGTGCCAAGGCATTGACCAATACACGAGGATCGAGTAGTACAAGGTGCTGGTTTTGTTCCCATTCAGGTAAACAGACCATATACAAAGATGTTTATAGAACAATGTAACCTCGAATAAAAGAGCAGAGAGCTAAGAACTTGATCCTGGGCATCGCATATGTTCACCCGTGTCTTCACGCTCTTCGAACTGGGCTTCGGCCGCAACCAATCATCCTCGACCTCTATATTCTTGTCTTCGCCACCGCACCCGCCGCTCGGATTTCCGGGAGAAAGTTTCAATCCACGCATACCCGGAGCGTACCCAGTTATCACCACTTTAGCACGGCTTTCGCACGACTGCGAGACGAGAGAATGCGACGAAGATCGCCAGGGCCCTTGCAGTAGTCCTCCGAGCGTTCTGAGCGAGTCTACGTCAGCCTCTGCCAAGGGAACATCTTCGCCTCAGCATGCTTCGTCCCGCCGCATGCCCGGTGCATACCCCGATAGCATCAGGCTACCTTCTAACTCGTCCATTCGCCGCAACTCGACCTGGGCCGAACGTCGGAGGGCTGAAGAAGCACTTTTGCGCAAGATGCGTCGCGACGAGGGGGTCGCCAGTCACAAACGGCGTTGCCGGGCGTGCAAGTGGGCCAATAGACAAAGCTCATCAACAGATGCGGGCGTGGATGATCCGCATGCGCACGGCACACAGCATATGCACAGCCCAGAGCGCTTTGCCAATCAGCACCGCAATGCCGCCCGCGACAACTTGAAGACACCGAAGGAGGAGCATATCTATGCGAGAGTACGCATGAGGCGTGCGCGCAGACGGGCCGAGATGAAGGCTAGTCACGACCCGTTGGAGGAGGACCCTGTCGTGCGTGGACATGGATCTGGGACCCCACTCGAGGAGGGCTCGCATCGCCAGGCGCCAGACGAGATTGTGTTCGAACCGGCGCCACAGACCCAGCCTTCACTCGATCCTCAACAGGAGGCTCTGATGGCGTGCTTCCGACGGTACGACCTCAAGTGGAACACTCTCAAGTCGGGAACCCTCCAGGCGGGCACTATCGCCGGGGAGGAATTACCCTGGCCCGTTCGCGAGGGCACGCAGTACCTGCAGAGTCTAGATGCGGTCAATCTGGCAGCAGTTACCGAGTTTATCCTCCATCCCGAGCGCCCGGGTAGCGAGAACAGGGCGCCTCGGCAACGAGTGAAGGATGAACTTGTCCGGTGGCATCCAGACCGGTTCGATACGCTGGTGCTGCCGTTGGTCTTAGCGAGCCAGGCCGAGGGAGTGAAGGCTCTGGCCCAACAGGTAACCGTATATCTTAACGAGATTCTTAAAGACCTGTAGCTCGTCGCGTATACTTCCTTGATATATCTATTTGGCCTAGTGCAGAAGATAGGCAGACGGCATAGTAAGCATCGAGACACCGGGACGACAGCTCGTCGCAGCCAGTGACGCGGGCGCACACTGAGAATATGCGTGATGACTGCTTTGATCCGAACCACCATCCACGGCCCCTGTCTAAATCGCTCGGTGCATCCCGATCTGCTACATGGCTTTCCGATTGCGGCCGTCAAGTTCAGAGAAGACTCCTGGCAGAATGCAACTATATATGGCCATCGGGGGCTATGCAGGCGAGCTTGTCAAACATGCAGCGGTATGGCAGCAATCCGCGGCCAACCTTCATCTTTCCTCTTCCGGACGTCTACACATATCCAGTTCTCTGGGAATGGACTCATCGTCCGTGCAGCCACGATGCTAGCTGGGGAGCAGGTGCGTCTACATGTCCGAGTAGACGGAAGGGTACTTGTCCGGCGAGTCCATATGCATGTGTCTGACAAGGAGTTCTTTAGCTAGGTGATATTTGACTGCCAATGATGTCGAAACAAGAGGCGTCGACGGGCTACTTTGGGAACAAGGGACAGCCTACTATATATGGGACGAAATTTATCGAGCTCCTATCCTACACACTCTTGCTACGGCCCTATGCTCGCTCAATCCACCGTTGCCTCGGGCGTCTCATCCACTGGAGACGTTCTTTTGCTCCAAGAGAGATACCCCTCCAACTTTCACTATCGCGTTTTAGTGGCCCTTCCCACCTCGTATGAGGTGAGTATGCGCAACCATTCAACAGTCAATGTCGCTCATTGGGGCATAAGGACCTTGAATCAGTGGCCCGGGCTGTATTCGCGATCGATGATAGCAAGGAAGTGTCATTTCTGACTAGCGATCTCAAGATATGCTCCGGAAATGAAGTGGCCATCCACACTTCAAGCTGGGAACTCGTTCGGGGGGCATTACAATCGGTGGTCGTCTCCGTCAGACTCAAGACGGGTTGGGAGCACCACGGATATTCGGCAGACGATGAAGGCTCCCTGGTGGCGTCTCGTACGGCGTCTGAACGTTCTATGATCAGTGGCGATGAGACAGAGGCGGCGCAAGTCAGTAACACGTCGGTATGAATCAGTCATTCTACCCAGTAGGACTCAGCATGACTGACATCATTCAAAGCCGCCCCCTAGAGACCCGCTGCTTTTCATCCCCGGGAAGGGCTTCAAGTTCAACATAAGCACCGAACGATCACTTCAGGACTCTACGGGTCAGGCTCTTGCGATTACATCCTCGGTTGTCCAGTCTGGCAAGGTATCTCCCATGGAGTCGAACACCGGAAGCACTGCGTTAACCCGACTCGTCGCAGGTTGACTTATGGGGCGCTTCCTTGCCTTCCAAATTCCTTATGCCTGCGCCGGTACCTGACACACCCCGTAAGCCATGCGATTGCTTGTCATATACTTAGACAGCTGACATATCTCTTCAGCCTCACAAGAGCCAAAGCCTTTCAGGCCGGTGATCCAACGACGTCGGATTGCCCAGCCACAGAGTACTCACGAAGTTCTCGAGGATGATCCTCGCCTTCGCGGTTCAGATAAGTCAATCTGAGGGCTTATCTGCATGATACGGTCTCCATTCCAACCAGTCTGTTAGGTTACCTGTATGTAACTGTGTTGCCGATTTCGTGCCTGTAATTGCTATTTATAAGTGGTGCCTCAATGACAGTGTGTCGATCGCCAACTACATATTTTCTGGATAATGACTATGGTCAATGACAGTCGCTGACAATCATCGACGGCCGCCCCTTGTCACTTTTCCTGCTGTTGGCATACAGTATCAATGACGGCAACTGACGGTCACTGACGGTCACTGACGGTCACTGACGGTCACTGACACTGACGGTCGCTGACGATCGGTTGATCACTGACGATCACGACGACTGTTACTTTTTGTCATTGCAAAATTTCAACGGCATTCCCCAGTACGTTCGCTGCAGACCAGCCAAGCACCGGCTCTCGCTCCCACATCGTTTTCTCGCTAGCTACGGTCACTCCGCGCTGGCGCGCTCGCTCTCATTCCTTCTCTCCAACCCACGGCACGCCTCGTTCGGCAACATTGACTCGACCCCCAATTCCCTAGCTTAGTGCGAATCACATCATGCGCATTCCTGTCCTGGAATGAATTGTGGCCCGGTAGCCGCCTGCCTGCCGCCGCTCCTGGCCCAGTAGCCCCCTGAATTCCTGCCCCGTTCGTATTGGGCCGCGTCTGTGTTTGGGCCGCGTCTGTGTCGTTTTCGCCGGCAGTCCCCCAGCCGCTAAGTTCGCGACGGGCACTGCACTTTGCGGAGACGAGCCGGAATTGACATAAGCGGGATGTGAGAATTGAGTACCTCGGAGTAGTAGAAGTGTACCCCATGAGTCGTGTACGCCGTCCATGCCGCTGAATGACCGGATGGCATATCACTATAGCCTCATAGTCGAGTCGGAACGCGCATACTAACTTACGATGTTGTAGCTCATATGAGCAACTGGCCTGCTCCTCTGGCCCGTCAATGCCACCGACGGCCCATGATGCAGCTCGTCATGACGCAATATCGCCGCTGGTCAACCTCGTTGTGAAGGCTTCATTCGACAGAGGAAATACGCGGAGGAAATAGGTTACGCATTGTTCATGGAAATATGCTGCCCGTTTCCAAGGCAATGGTCTCTCCCAAAAGGGTAACAATGGGCGGAAATTATTTCCCGGATATCTCCGGTAGGCAAGCGAGAAATATAGATCATGTCTTTTTCCGGAGGCAAAAGGGAAATCTTGGACTTCCCCAATATGGTAAGTCAATTGCTACGTTCGGACGCTAATACGGATGACATCATACCCACCCTTTTTCCTGTGTTTTTCCCCGGAAAAAGATGATCGCCATATTTAGGCTGTGGCGCCCTTGTTTTCCCCGGAAATGAGGAGGAAATCAGAACACTCTTTCCACACATATTTCCCTTATATTTCCGGGTCAAACTGCACCAGATCCTGGCAGTGCTAGTCTCAGTATGTCGTGCTCCGTACAATAAGGACACACCCTTTTGTTGACGGCAACGAGAGGCGAGAAGCAGACCATCTGGCGCCGACCACCAATTCCCTCATCGGCTATTACAGCTACATGTCAAGTTCAAATTGTATTCAAGAGTAGAGTCTGTGATACAAAGATGGGATTCATTTGTGTCTACTACGCAAAGTGTGTCCGCGAAGGACAATTTGACGAAAAATTGAGTAGGCATGGTGCGCACCACCGGCACGCAACCTTATGATGCGGCGCCTCCATCGTGCCGGAGCCCATCCTTGCTGCTACACCCCGCCCCTCCCCTTTGCCGCGCGCGGTATCACATAAATAGGTAATGTACACGATAGGAGAGCAGAGTCGGAGGCCGAGGTGCGTATTCCGCACCACCGTCCTTTGATGGGGAACCGCCTATGAGTCAAGGGAGTGCTTGTCTCTGAACCGTCTGCTGCCTGCGTGTCCGGCCGAGCACTAACGACGCCTGTTAGGGCGGAGTCCTACGAGGCAAACGGACGTGGTATGCAAGACGGGCCGCTCGAGAGCAGCTGCGGTAGCAGGAGGTGAGAGTTTTCTGGGTCTTTTTTCGTTGTTTCGGGCATAATGTGGCGGGTGGCAGCGAGGAATGAAGGAGCGTAGTGGCGCGATTCGGCCTTAAATACATGCTCTGGATAGATCAGGTACAGAGATAGATACGTCTGATGGCCTAAGTCGTGCTCAGTATCCAGCTAGCCCCAGAATGTGAAGGTTGCCTGATGAGGACCATCGCGTCCGGTCACACAATGGAAGCACATTCTTTTGTTTAACCTAGTCGGAATCGTATAGTATGGTCACTACAAGACAAGCTCGCGAAGAGCTATGGGAGGATTCAAAAAATTGGTATTGAACGGCTCAAGTGCACCGCGCAAACCACCCCTTCCCCGTGCGCAGTCGTGGGACTGCTCAGCTTCGGTGAGTCATGCCCGCTCGCAACGGCTTTTCGAACCCCACCCCGGTCCATACCTACTACCTGGCTACACAAGCCTTTTCGGCCCCCAAAGGTATCCTCTGAGCACGTCTGTACGTCTTCCAAGATGAGGGAAACTTTTGACGACCTGGCATGAGCGATGTCAGATAGCTCCGCGGGTATGAGGCCCTGGGTGAGGTGGTCGCAAATGGGCACCAGACGGTCGGACTGCTACAAGGTAGCGACGGGAGGTGGCGGTCTTGGGTGCGGACCGCGTGGGAAGTTGCAGCACGTCCTTCGGGACGCCAGTAGGGGACGTCAGAATTGAGGTGCGGCTGCCGTGGCAACCCGCTGCAGCTGCTGCAGCAGCTTACACGTGAGGGCCGCCGAGTCCGCGGGCTCGGACACCACGCGAGCCGCAGATG